AAAAGAAAGAGAAACGCGTGGAGTGGGGTGCAGAGAGAAAGTGGTGGGAATGGGATGAGCGGTCCGATGCGGCGGAGAGAGTGACAAGTGGCCGGAGAGGGGTGGTTTTGGGATGCACATTAATCTGATCTCATCTTCACCAGCACCACAGTGTGAGTAAGTGAAGTCAAGACTCAAGAGCACAGAGAAAGTGAAAGTGGGTTCAAAGTTGGCGTTGGGGTTGGGGTTGGCGGGTCCTGTGGTTTAAATGTCGCCAACTTCGGCTATCCTTGCACGGAACACCATGCAGCCTGTGACAAGTCTTCACCCTCTTTGAAAATTTGATAATTCACTCATTTTATTAAGGACAAGTATTTCCCTCTGAATATTACAAAAAATAAAAAGAAAATCTCTCATCTATCTTACACACTTTCATCTTTATCTGAAAACAGCATGGGAAGATGATTCTTCATTTTTATTATTTATTTAATTTTAGGAATAAGGAATGGCTTCTCCATACTAGATCCTAGATTTAAAAATTGTTGTATTTCTTAATTAATAAAAGTGATTAAATATTTATATGAATTTGATACAACGAATTAATTATGTTAAGGATCCAACAAGGAAGAGAAAAGAGACTTTACATAGATTTATAATAGACATGCACTACTCCTCTCATTGTCAATTATTTTTTAGATGAAATTCCATGAGTATTAATAAATTAAGTATAAGGATAAAAATGATTGTTTTCTTCTTTCTAAAAAATAAGTTATTGAACAACCCTCCTTTCTTATTTAAAAGCTATTAAATACATAAAGTGAAATCATTTTAATTAGCATATAGTAGTGTTATAGTTTCGATGCATGATCGGAGAAAAACAAGAAATAAATAAATTCTCGTGTCGAGTTCATAATGTCGCACTATTATTGGCGAAGAAGTATTTTATTTTATGTCTCAGAATGGAAAACCTCATTGGTGCCGAGATTGTGGGATCGTTGAGTAGTTATTTATGATACTATGCAATTTGTATGATAAGGTTCCCAAACTATATTATGCACGAGATTAACCACTTTAATAGGTTTTTTTTTCCTTTTCTTTTTTTGGACAAAGGAATCTTTTATTTCAATGGATGGATAAACATAAATCAATAAACGTTTGGTATGCTTTAACTGAATTCCTTATTTTTGTCTTTTTCTAATGGAGTAGACTTTTTTTCTCAAACATTTATTAAAGTTTGTGTAAAGGAGATTTTATTTACATTTGAAAGCAACAATTAAAAAAAAATAATACAGTGAACTCAAATATAGTGGTAATTAGTTAAGATGTATATGATTGATTTTTAAATCCAACATTTTAATTGTAGATATATGTTTTAATCAGTCGGCCTAGGCCGACAGAAAAAAAAAAAATAAATATATATATATATATATATATATTACTAACTTTGAATATTAAATAATATACCATATTTATAGGGACTCAATAAAAAGAAACCACCAAAATATTTAATATGCTGGTTATGTGCAATGTACTTATTTAATAGGAAGTTACAAGTTTTATTCTATTTCTTTTTTAAAAAATGCAAAGTTTTATATTTTATAAGTAGATAAACTTTTGATATTGTGTTTAAGCTAAATAGTGAATCTAAATATAATTTAGAAGTGAAAAAATATATATATTTTTAATTTGAAAGAGTATATTTAATTTCTCATCTGGTTAATAACATTTTCTAAATGAAATACATTTTCAGAAAATTAATATTTTGATTTTAGTATATGAATTACAGAATCTAACAAATTTAATCGACTAACCCAGTCAGACAGGGAGGGATTTAATAGGGAATTTCAAAGTTAAGTTTGTTAAAACATCATTCTTATATAGATCAAAGATAAAAAAAGTTTACGGAAACAATAATTGTAAAAGGAAATTTTCATTGAGTAATCTCATTCTCTAAAATAATATTTTAAATTACGATTTAGATTTTAAAAAAATTAATTTCAAATGATCATGTAATTAATTAGTTCTTCTAACTTTTTCAAGTAATTTTTAATTTACATAATTGATGGTTAGCTTAAATGTTAATTTTGAAGTGAATCATAGTAGTTATAATCAATTGATGTAGGTTAATTGACGAAATTGAAGATTTATTTAATAGATTAATTAATATGCATTCAACTTTTTATTATTCTTTTAAATGTCGACTAATTTCGATATTATATTGACTAAATATATAATGTAGTCTTTTCTTTTTTTATTACTATATAACGTAGTATTTGCTTCTTACTTCATGATTTTTCTCAATTAAGCATTTACTATTACAAAATTTGAAATAAATTTGCCATCTAAAAGAAAATAGGCATAGACCCATAATTTTAAAAGTGAAATCTACCCATTTCTCATTACTTGAACTGTAATAATTTATCCAACCCAATTTGTGTTGGTGTGATAGAGAATCAGCGCATTAAAAATATTATTATATGACTATCTCATAAAAAAAAATTACGTAATTATGAAATTCACGTTACTAAATAAAAGATGTCATTGAAAATTTTATAAAATGGCACAGATATTAAATAATATATTAGGTACATTGTATTTATAGTTGCTGGAATATGAAGTGGAGTTTGCATTCGAGAGGCCATTGCCCTAACACGGAATAAAAAGCATGAATCTGTGAAAGGCCCGCTTACGGCCCATAATGACGTGGCAAACCGTATCCAAATGTTGCAAACGTGGCAACAAAAATATGCTTACGTGTCAGTATTGACAGCGCCACATCTCTTCACTTGCGCTTCCGGACGGACGATGCGGGAGATGGAGAAGTATTTTGGGCTGAAGTTTGGTTTTGGGTCAAAGAAAACGCCGTTAATGTTAGGGTTAATTAGTGACTCATGAACTCAACGGAAGCCAGTTTTTCCGGTAACTGCCCACCTCGACCGTTACTAATGAAAGCTACCATTAATGTATATTCTTGAAAATAAGCATTGCAATCGAAAAGATAGTGATTCAATCCTTAGAAAAAGAGGATCGTTCGTGACGAATTTCAATGAAAAAATTATTCGAATCGATAAATTTGCATTTGTATTTATGTATAAATGTTACCATTTATGATGAATAATTCTCTGATTAATTCTTTCGAGGGACTATAGGTTTGTTCTTGAATCAATAAGTTTGACATTTTGTTTGAAAATTTTATTTTATTTTTTTTCTTTCTGAATGTTCTAATAGCTCTAATCTCAAATTCTTCTAAAAATCTCTAAAATTCGTTAAATGAGAGGTGATCCTCTCTCTATAAAGTTTTGGTAGGTCTTATACGGGTCATGAACTTAGACCTAATCTCCTAATTATAGTTTGATTTAATTAACTGATGTTATCGGACAACCCATAGGGAGACACGTGACATAATTTAATTTACCAATTTCAAAATTAATTTAGGACATGTATAAATTTAGGATGGGTCGTGTATATAATTTTAAATTGTAACGTGACATTTATTAATGGTCCAGATTTTGTCATTCAACATCGATATTAGAGAATAAATTACGTACTTTAATCGATAAATTATGTTCAGGTGAGTTGTTAACTAAATTTGATAGTCTATTTAATTATACTTTTTAGTGATATATTTATAATAAATAAATAATCTTACTAAGCCAACATATTTACGATAAAAGATAAAAATAATAATAAATAGTCTTACTAAAAGTCCCATAGTGATTGATGGATCTAGCAAAGGCCCAAAGGACACACGTGCCCCTAAGTTATCAATTTCTTATTTTTTTTTGGAGTCAATTATTAGTTATTAATTATTATTTTTTACATTTTATTATGAAGTGTATCAATGCCCTGCCAAACCGAGCATAGCTCATGTGGTTAAAACACACTAAAAAGTTATGAGTTTGAACCTCCACCTCCACATGTTGTATAAAAAAAAAGTGTACCAATACCATGCTGGCTCGCCCGAACATATATCAAATTCATAAACCATATTTTTCACAAACATAAATAATTTTAGACGTTTATGTAAATTTACAATCTGCCAATTAAATATCTATGAATATGAAATAATAACAAATATAAATTTTTATCTCTCCCCTTGTGCTTCCTCCTTCCTTCCCCAGCCACTTGAACACTAGCCGTGGTGGCTGTGGATAGGAAGAATGGGCCACCTCTTAATCCTTAAGGTCGGCCCATTATTTGAGCAAAATGGGCCAATAAGGCCCATTAAATTCTATTTCATTTTTTTGAAAAAAGAGCTTAGGGGAATGTGAATGAATGGTTCGTTGAAGAGGGGGTCCCACAATGATGAGAAGGCGATGGACAGCGTGGGAAGAGAGGGCAATGTGGAGTTGTAGGAATGGAGCAGTTGAAACCGCTAACGGACACGCGCGTCATTCCACCCACTGTGACTGCCTGTCACCTTCCCCTCCGTCACCCCCTCACCTGGCTTCTGCCACGTGCCCCCCATCCTACTTCTCACAGTCACTAATTATAAATTTATAATTTGCCTTCATCTATTTTTCCAATTACGTCCAATATTAGTACTAAATTATTCTGGAATATTTCATTCGTATTTACGATACATCTAATATATTGCTTCATCTTATAATAAGATATTATATCTAAATGAGAGATCTTAAAATCATACCAACATGATTAAGAAAATAATATTAAAAGATTTTACATGGTTACTATTTTTTCATACCAACAAGATTGAGTATTTTTTTCTTTTGATGGCCTGAAAAATAGAATCTGTGTTATGTTGAAAAATTTTGACTCTACCTTCATGGGAGAGGGGATTTTTTTGTTTTATTGATCTTAGACATAAAAAATTCAGTAATCCATTAATTTCATTTCTTAACAAATGTGTGTATATACGGAGAAAGATAAAATTTTGTTTGGTCTACTTATAGATGTGATGAATAATTTTTTTAATCCTCAATAATGAAAATAATTATTAAGACTAATAAATTATAAATGAATTGAAAAATAATTAGAAGAAGTACCATAGGGATAAAAATTGAGACAAATGTTAAAAGTAGGGAAAGATATATATAAATACAATTTTTAAATTTGACTTTGGAGTTTATTGTGTTAACCAATTAATAGTGGGATTTCAAAAGTTATATGTGGGGATGAAATAAAAAAGTGGGATTAGAGATTGACTTGAAGTTGGGACAAAATGATTATGGAAGTGGAGACTTTGAGTTGGAAATTGGGTCCATTAAGATAATTAAAAATTGAATATATCCAATCCCTTACAAACAAGGGTCACCCCCTCCCACACTGTAGGTCCAACGACAACAGAATAAGTGTCCCAAATCCGCATTGCCCAAATGATGTCAGAACAAAAAATAAAAAATAAAAATAAAAAACAGAATGAATGAATGAAATTAAAATACTGAAAACAGAGAGAGAAGAATTAAGATTTATCAGAACTGATCAAAACAAAAGCTTTTGAGAAACACAAAAACATTTCTGAAAGAGAAAGAGAAAAAGATAATACAGGCAATCTACCATCTCCGTCCACCGCCGCCGATCGCCGACAGATATGGTTCGTACGTATTCCATCAAACTTACCAAAATAATCCCATACATACAATTATAATTATATCCTTTTTATTAGCAAAAAAAATTAAATCTTGTTATTGTTTTGAGTATCTGATGCCTGGTTTTTTGGCTGGATTTGGCAGGTTGAAACGTCTGTCTTATGAATTACTTGTTGGGTTTTTTTGAACTGGGTTTTCTCATACCATCATTTTTCTCCCCAATAATGGACGCCGTACTTCTGTCGCTCTGAAACTCAATATCATTTTCCCTCCTCAGAGATCAAAACCCATCCTTTTACTGGCTCATGCAGAGAAGTGGCAAGTTCAAAAAAACCCTTTTTTCCCCTCTTTTTTTAAATTGAAAATCCGATATTTATATGTGTGTGTGTGTGTGTGTGTATGTATAGGTTAAGAGAAGAGATGCAGCGGCGGGATCACGATGAAATAATGAAGGCGGTTCAGGAGAGGAGATTGAAGGGGAATTTGCAAGTGCAAAATCAGGTTCAAGCACAGCCTCAGCCTCAGAAATGCCCTCGCTGTGATTCTCTCAACACCAAGTTTTGTTATTACAACAACTATAGTTTGTCTCAGCCTCGTTATCTTTGCAAGACCTGTAGAAGGTATTGGACTCAAGGTGGTACTCTCCGGAACGTCCCCGTCGGTGGCGGTTGTCGGAAGGGTAAACGACCTAAACCCTCTTCCGACAACACAAGGTCGACACAACCGCTACTGCCACCGCCACCACGATCACCAGTAGTCCAACAAATTAGTTTATCGGCTACTCCACAACCCATAATCTTCTCCGGTACTCCCATCATGACCACATCGTCGTCCTACTTCAATCCTGGTGAGCATCAGGGACGGAGCTAGAAATTTTCATAGCATTTTACTCTTTTACATATAATCTTTCAAGGCAACGAGATAAATTAGAGAGAAACTTTTTAAGTTAAATTTTTTAGAAAAATCTAAGAGGAAGGTTTTTCTTTCCAAAAAATTGAAGAGAATTTGATTAAGGGGATGGATACCTTATTGAGCTATGTTTAAATTGAATTGACTTAAAAGAGAAGAAAGTTTCAATCTTTGAATGAAAAATGGAATTTTGCTGATGGGTCTTGAATTTGATGCAGGTGAGGAAGTGGGGTCATCTTCGAGGTGGGTAAATTCATTTGTATCATCGCAAATAGGGCAGTCTCAAATTCAAGCATCTGAAATAATCTATGAAATGATGGATCATCATCAGTCAGCTGGAAAGGCAGCCGTGAATAATTCATCTTCTCCGGCGGCAGCGTGGCCTGAAACCTACATCAATAACAATTCTAGCAACCCTTTGGCCGCCGTGGGTGACACCATTGTTTGGACCTCCGGCAACAGCACCACCGCAGTTGACCAATCTTCTTTGGATCCAAATCAGTGGCCCGATTATATGCGGGGATTTTGTCCGCCTCCATGACATGACACATTTCTAAAGCCGAAGATACCAAAGAGATCACAAATCTGTGGAATTCGATTCTTTATATTTAAAAAAAAATGCTGTGAAAAGACCATACCTTTGATTTTATATATATATATATATATATATATGCTTTGACTCATTGGATTGGTTTGAACTTTGAAATGACATAGTGTGTTGAAGAATCAGGCCAGGTGATGAATTTGTAAGAACAGAAGAGGGTAACTAGCTAGCTCTGGATTTTGTTGTAAAATTGTGTATTAATATAGGGGGAAACCAAGAATTCTTAGTTGGGTTAGGTTTGTTGTGTTCAACTTTTTTGGTTTTTGATTAAAGAGAGATCAGTAATTATGTATGCTTTTTGAACTTCTTTTTTATTGTTTTATTTTTTTTCTACTTTTTTAAGTTACTGCCAAAGCAGCTTTGAAACCCTTAAAAGAAGAGAAGTGAAGAATGCTTCTTCATCATGATAATGTGGCTCTCTCCGTGCAAAAGGTTGGCGGCCGGCGAGATGGAAATGAAATGGGCGGCGGCTGGAGTTTTCCGGCGGCGGTGGTTTTGGTTAAAAATGTGTAGTGTTTTTGGTTTGGTTAATTTGGTTTTGTATTATGTGGTTGGATTTTACTGAGCAGTGAGCTGTGATGAGCACCACTCTCACACGCTTTATAATTTTTTCTGCCACCAAAATGCAGCTTTTCAATTTATGGTATGTTATGTTGTCTTGTGGAATCATATCTTTTTGGAGTATTTTCTTTTGCTTGCGGAAAAAGAAAAATGAAATGGTAATATTTCATTTCGTTGGGATTATAATGGTAACGGTAATAAACTGGTCGGAGTTTTTGAATCTCCTACCCTCGTGTTGAAATTATATATATATAAAATGTTAAACTACATATTTTATATATTTATGTATAGTTTTTATCTAGTTTCAATATGATGTTGAATGAGAAATTTCGGCTAATTATTAAATGCCACAACATAAAATTAAAATTATATTTAGGACCAATGATAAAATTACACGTGTCCTAAATTAATTTTATAATCGACGAATCTAATTATGCCACGTGTCTCTCTTATGGTCGTCCGATGAAATCAACTAATTTAATCAAAACTCATGAGACTGGGCCGAAGCCCATGACTCATTAAACCCATGACCCATATAAGACCCACCAAAACTGAGGGGTCACCTCTCATTTGAAAAGGGGAAAAAGGATCAAAAGTAGATTTAGAGATTTATAGCACTTCAGAATTGTATACAATCATCCAGAGTCAAGCCAAACATCCAAAGTCAACAAGACTTGAAGAAACTTGAAGAGCATGAGACTTTAAGAACATTGGATTTTCTCCCCCCAAGCAACAATACTCAAAGCCTCCATCAAACTGCAAAGTCTTCATCAAATTGACTGAATAACTTCAACAAACTGCAAAGCCGAAGAACTTCAACAAGCTGCAAAACCGAATAACTTCAACAAGCTGCAAAGTCGAAACACTTCACAATCTGCAAAGCCGAAGCACTTCACAAACTGTCAACCATTGGTTCAAGAACAAGCTCACAAGCCCTTGAATTAAAGTTTATATTTGAGAGTATTAATTAGAGGATTATACATTAGAGATGGTAACACCCACGTACATAAATACAAACACAAGTTATAAATTCGAGTTATTTCTTATTTGAATTTCTCATCCAACATATGTTTAAACCTCACAAATTGTCTTTAAATATTGTTTTACCCACTTAAAAATTTCTTTTATTTTTTATTTTACTTAACTTTAAACTATATAACATATTCCAGTAACATGGTTTTCTAAACAAAATACATTGAAGGATCTAATTGCCTCTAATAAAAAAACGTGTCAATAATATTACGGAAAGGACAATTTATGACTTTCTTTCTTTCTTTCTTTTTTGAAAAAAAGTAAGGAAAATTTATGAAATTTGAATAAATAGACCAAATGAAAACTTTTAAAACCAGAAAGACCCAATCAAAACTCTAAACTAAAATAAGTTAAAACGTTGTTTTTAGTTTCACCTAAAAAACCTCGTATCAATAGAGATAATTGTCGTCATTTATATACTATGGATCACTTCCTTCCCTAGTCAAGGTGAGATTTTATTTTATTGCTTACTTTTTAAATTAAATACCCTCTTTATGTTTCTTGTGTAAACTACCTCGCTAAAATTTTGTAAGCTAGCAAAAAAATTTTAAACTAGATTCTCATATATTTTTTTAAATACAAACTTTTGAAGAAAGTTTTAAAACAAAATCATTGTGAAAAGGAAAGTAAAACATATTGACCTCAAATGGGAGTTAGAGAGAAGGAACACTATTCAATTCAATAAAGAAGCAAAAATTTGGAGAGTAGGATGGAAGGAATGAAGAATATAATTTGTATAATATGGGTTTTGTGGGTCAGAAAATTAGAATTTGTATGATGAAAAATTTGATGAAGATGGGACCCCATGCATTTGAAGTTGTTAAATCAAAGCATGCACGAGTGGAGTGGAGGACCCATATTTTTCCCATCAAACATATTTAAGCAGCACACATCGATCACATTGCCCTACGACTTTGGGGTACCCTACCCTGCCACCCATCATTTGGTCACCTGCCCTTTCAATTCTATATTGTTGACTCAACCAATTATTAAAAATATGTGCTATCATTGCATGGAATTGTTTATCGCCATGAATGCCCTTTTCCAAGCTTTTAAAACCATTGTTGGACTAAATGGCCACGTTCATCTTCTAGTGTGCTATCATCACCCACAATTCCTTTTTAAGTTTTGTTTTCAAAATGACCCTACAACTCAATTAGCTCCACAATGATTTGTCGGGTACTTATACGTATTCCGTTTATTATGTTACTATTAATTAGAGTAAAATTCATATATTCATAATAACATGATATTGTTAAATATATATCATAACGATGAAGATGTACTCTTCACTCATATGTTTTCATTCCCAATGAATAAAAAAATTACAGTTGAATTAGATTGGCTTATTCTAGTTTAATTTCCATAACATTGTTTGGAATTGACAATAATAGATTAAAATCTATATAGGATTTATTATTACATTCTGATTTCTGTTGTTTTTTTTTTTTTGGAAAATAACATGTGTTGAGTAGGTTTGAGAGGTTGCTTGGAAGGCAACCTAAGATAAATCGACCATTGCATTGCACATAATTAATTGTGTTGGTCCAAATCGAAAATAATATAAATGTATTGGAAGGACAACAAAAAAATAGTGTCGGTGAAGCATGAGTCAGCATAATAATTATTAAATTTAAAAGGAAAAAAAAAACCCAACAATACAACCACTGCTCGTATGTCTGGTCTTTCTCTCTCAGGAATGGACTAGTTGTCGTCTTGTGTTTCGAGTGTAAATATAATGTTTTTTTTTTCTTTTTTCATAATGTAATTGGTGACATTTATTGAACATTCCGACTAAGATTACATTAAACACATAATCTTCCTCATATGTACAGCTTTCATAGTAGCTAGCTCATATTTTAATACCCAACTAACTTTATTTTAATTCTACATTGGCATAACTGAATGGTCTTCCTTTTACTCTTATTTTATAATTGTCTTAGATATATTATATTATATTAAGATTTCTTTTAATTCATCTTTAAACAATTCCTAGTTTGAAATATGATAGGAAGAATTTAGAGATTCCTTTCTTTCTTTTCTCAATTTTATTTTGTTGTTATAATAACCACTTTGTTGATGAAAAGTATGCGATGACAATATGAAAAAAAGAAGCGGATTTTGAAGTCCAAGAAAAACTGAGACAACAATATCGTTTTGTGCGAGATGGTTGGTAGCTCAACATCTTGAAAGAAGATATATATAAGTTGCACTCATATCAAATATGTTAGGTTAAAGGAGACTTGCACACAATATAAGGTTGCTGCATTTGTTTCCTAGTGAATTATGAACCATTCATTTAGAAAGTTATCTATTATTTTTGGTAAAGTTATTTGCGGTGAAAAGGAATCTTTAAATTTCATCTAAAAGTATGTCGCAGAAAAGAACATATGAAAATATGATCTTGAAGAATAAAGAAGACATATTTAATGAGGATTTAATTAATGTAATTAAGTGAAGAATGAATTAGAGAGAGAAAGCTAGGAGGCCACACCTCCTTCCTCCTCTATTTCAAAATGAAATTAGGATTGATTGAAATTAAGTAAATCAATTGTTAAAGCGAACCTAGTTCAACAGTAATTGGTATATATTTCCAATCAAGATGTTGTGAGTTAGATCCCTCCATTTCATATTGTACTTAAAATGAAAAAAAAATTATTAGTAAATCGGGAGATTATTTAGAAATTCATCCGATGAATTACAAGTTTATCTAGTAATCAAGTAATTGTAACTTTTAATTCAAAATAATAATAATAAATTGTAACTTTTAAATTTATATGCACTTTTTTTAAGAGATAATATTTTGAGAGGTCTATTTTTAAATCTTAATTTCATAAATGTTTTTAGTTTTCAAAATTCACACTTTTAGATATTTTCATGTAGGATTTTATGTTAATACCGTTTCTGCCCTTATTTATTGCTTTTAATTTTATTATAATTTTAAAATTTAAAAGATTTTAATTCTTAATTTGTTATTATATTCATTTAGTTATTGTGGGCACTGTTAAATTTTTCAACCTAAATTCCTCAGATCTCTCCTCCAAAAAAGATTTTATCCTCTCACCAATTAATAACTTCCAAATTTGTGAAATCATCGTTTGAATTAATCAACGAGGACAGACCTTCATCAACGAGGACAGGAGACGTGCAGACTGTCTGTGTTCTTTTTCAGGGCTTCCATCAACAAGCGATTTTTTCCTTCTTTTCGTCGAGATCTACTTATTTCCGTCGCCGAATAGACTTTCCATCGACCTCGTTGCACGTTTCTGATGCCGTGCAGCATGCTTTCGTCAACAAAGTATTTATTCCTTCCATTTCCGTCGTCGAAAAAACTTTCCGTCGACCTCTTTGCATGTTTCCGACGTCGTTTAGCGCGTTCCTCATCTCCTATCCCCTTCTGTTTTTACCATTGGTAATTATTAGTCTTCCGTTAAGATTGGTATATATGGGGATATATTTTATGTATGTGTATAGAAAATTGAAATTCTAAACGTCTCATGGTCTTAGTAGATAAATGTTTCATTTTTCAAATCTTTAAAATGGATGTTTCATTTTTTTTTGTTTCTTTCTTTTGGGAGATTTTTAGAGGGGATTTGGGGATATTTTGGGACGTTTTCAAATTTGGGGAATTTAGGGTTTTCTTTTTAATGTTTTGGTGTTTTAATTTGTTTTGGAAAGTATCATTAACCTAAAATTATGGGATCCAAATTATAACCTTCAATTAATTTGTAGTTACAAGAGAGTATTTAAGTAATTTATGTGATGATACCCTCTTAAATAAGGTTGATATATGACAAATGCGTAAATTTTATACATTCTATCCTTAATTAGGATCTTTAAATAGCCCATCAATATAATAATTTTTTTTTTTTTTTTTACGATGGAAGTGATTGAAAGAAAACCAGACCCAACTACTTTGGACTGATTGGATTTAGTTGGGTGGTGTACTTCTGGGCCAACTAATAAAAGACAATATCCACATCGTGGCCCATTTGCATCAGTTTATAATTATGTTTTCTTTAGAAGACAAAAAAACATTTCTTACTCTTAACTTTTATTATTTCTTTCTAGAATATTATTGTTCACGTTCACGGTGGTATGATATGGTCCATTTTAAGCATAATAATATCTTAAAAATAATTATCCTTACTTATATATCATAGATCTCCTATTTTCGTGAATATGAGAGTTTATTTGTACTCTTAACCGTTTAAGACAACCTCATCATTAAGCAAAGGTTGGAAGTGAGCTGGTTGGGTATAATTTGAAACGATCCCACATTTCGAAAAGAACCAAAGAAGGGTAAATTTTGTGTATGCGTTTATGTTAGTCCTCCAGCAAAGTTTTGAACAAGGAGGGAAAGAATTTCAAAGATGATAGAAGACAACACATAGTTTTTATGGTATTATGGCAATTCCACTTCCCCTGCTCTTTTTCATCCGTCCAATAGATTTTGTGTATGATTTTGCTTTTGCAACCTTTACTGTGCCCAGAGGATCACACACGCAAAATCTGTATCTCACAAACATAAAATCTGTGTCTCACAAACATAAAATCTGTGTATTGATCACGAACTTAAAAAATTTGCATTTAAAAATCACATCAAAATCTGATCAGTCTCTCCCCCTCTTCTGAATCTCCTCTTTTTTCTAATTACAACATGTATTTTCTCTCATCTTTAGTGGTCATCTAACTTAGTATTACTCTTGTCCAAACATACTTAATGCGGAGTTATGATGGATCCGATATGCTTCTCACATCCCTTATTGAAAAAGAAAAAAAAAGGAAATATGCATTTTTAATGTATTGTAAGAAGAGATTATTGTCCAGACTAAAAACCAAAATTTCCCGCATCACACGAAATTGAAAATGAAGGTAAACAAACATAAACATTCCTCTTTTCCCAGACCAAATATCCTTGTTAATGACGTTACAAAACCAACAAAGAAAAAACATATAGAAAACCTTAAATTTAACGAGATCTATTTCTCATCACCATTGCGATAACAAATCTCCCTCTGATCTTCCTATACCCTTAACTATATACCTCAAAAAAAAAGAAAAAAAAAGGAAAATGAAGGAGAAAAACGTATCTGATCCTTTTAGATGCATGCATGAATTTACATGCGAAGCTAAAGACTTGTCTTTCTAGCTTGAAATCCGAATCCAAATCAAAGGATGTGAAAGTTGTGTTCAAAGTAAAAAACTTCAGCTTTAACTTCTTTTTACTGACGAAATGAAAGAGGATCCGAGGTTCCTCTCAGCGCAATTAACTATAAAAATTCTCAAACCCACATCGATAAAGTTTTCAGGGTTTTGAGCTTTTTTGCAGCTGACATGATCACTCCGATCCCACTTTCTTCTACTTTCTTCTACTTTCTTCTTTCTCTTTTCTTTCCCCTTTTCATCTGCTCTCTTAAAATCATAGAGGGAGATCGAAATACAGATAAATGGTTGAAATAATACCCCCATCTCCTAGAATAGAGAAGCAATTGAGGACCCATTACTCGTCGGATCGTGCCAATTCCCCGTCACTGTTGTCGGATTCCAATAATGAGACAAGGGGTCCGAGAAATTCCCCAGATCAATTTGCTCGGTCTGATTCGGGCGGAACCTGTTAAGAATATAAAGAAATGATTACTATATTACGTATACTAACCTATTGGCTTAAGCTTTTTAACACGACAATGATCTAAAAGATACCTGTTCAAGCCTTCTATTTTCACGTCCTTTGTCGGCATCATCAAACTAGCTTCAAAATTGCCCAAAAGCTGTGAATTTCGCTCAAATGAAATGGTGGGATGATGATGGAAGTGATTGGAAGCAGTAGCGGAATTATTAGTGAACCCAGAGAGAAGAGCAGATGAAAACCCTAATCCACCAATGGCATCAAACTGCGGCGGCGAAAGATTAAGTCCAGGAACAGATTCCACACTTGAAAACTGAAGATTTAGGCCAGATGGGTCAGTATTATTTACCCCATAGAACATTGGGTTGGTGCTATTTTGGGGATGAGGGTTTTGACTTGCAGTAGAATTAGCTGGAGTTGACTTAACGGCAGCAGCAGCGTTGACTGTAGAAGAGGAAGAAGAAGAGGTCTTGAGGCGCTTGTTGTTTCTCCGGCAGCCGCCGCCGACGGGGACATTTCTTAGGGTTCCGCCTCTGGTCCAGTAGCGTTTACATGCCTTGCAGAAGTGCCTGGGCTGGGAGAGGCTGTAATTATTGTAATAACAAAACTTTGTGTTGGAAGAATCACAGCGAGGGCACTTCAAGGGCGCAGCTGATGATGATTGAGGCTGCTGTTGAACAAGATTATTATTGTCCATAATTCTAGAAGCTGAAGCCATTATGCATCAACCCTTTTTATCATTTACCAGATTCTAAAGAGAAAGGGCATAAAAAAGGGGAGAGAAGAAGAAGAAGAAGAAGAAGAAGAAGAAGGAAGAAGAAGAGAAGTTGGTATTAGGGTAAAATAAGGGCACAGAAGCAGATATTCTATTCCAAAAGCTAAGCAACAAAAATTGGAGGGGTCATGTTGGAGTATAATAATTGGAGAGAGGGGAAAGAGAGAAACTTGTGGCCAATTTGTGTTAATACAGTTGAAGGAAAGAAATATTCTTGCAGTTGCTACACACTTTCTCCACTCAAACAAATCGTTGAAATTTCATTTAAAGGAACTCTAACATGTACAAAAAGAAGTCATCTCATCTCATATTCGGATTCAAATTTTCAAACAGACTAATGAATGTTCCTTCGACCTAAGTTTTAACTATTTTTTTTTTATTATTTAAGTATATATTTATTTAAAAAAAAATACGACACACCATTCATTCAAAAAAGTATGTGAGAAACATATAAGAGGGAGAGGCTAAATAAACGCACCCCAGTTCAAAGAGATGGTGAAAATATCGTAATTACAGAAGACATATGATTTTGTGGACCAAGAAGAGGCAGCCGTCTGTAAAGAGACGATTGTTTCAAGCCAGATAAATCAAATGATCAAGTAGAAGCCATTGCACCAAAGAACATATCTGTTGGTGGAAAGAAGAATCTTGTTATATTCCAAAATGAAAGCATCCACTGTGGTAGGAAGGACCGTAGAAATATGTAAATATTTCTTAATTTTGAGATGAATTACAAAGTTTAATTCGTAAACTTTTTGGAGATGTATGTCTATGTGAGGTATGCGCACTATCTCCATACCGAGTACGTAAGGGGTTATTGCTTGACGGAGTTGTGTTTCATGTGACTTGAACCCAAAACCTCAAGAATATCCCTCGAGATCCAAAGCTATCCCTTGGGGACAATATGACATATATTGTTAATTCATTAGTTCAATACTTGACATAGTGATGACAATATAATTTAAGAATTACGTGGTTGAGTTGATCATTTTATACAAATTTAGGTATTTAGTGCGGCAGCAAGTGTAAACAAACAAAGTTAACAACATAAATATTTAGATATAAAATTTTAAAGTGCACGGACTAAATCGAATACGAAACCCTTGGGAATTAACTTATAAAATGTTATTAGGGTTTGCTATTTATCTTGTGAAATTATATTTAAAAATAGAAATATTATAACATGATAGAAGAGATAATTAAGCTCTCTCATAAAGTTAAAATACTTGACAAAAGTGAAAGAGAGGGACCAAAAAGACTGTTACAAAGAACGAAAACTTATATTACACACTTGAAGTTACATTTTTGTAATGAAATTTCACGTGGTGGGTCTGAAAAAAAGAACCCCAAATTAAAATTCGAATACTTTTATGATTAAAAAAAAAAACCGAAAAGACAGATGGGAAATTCGCAAGGGAAGGAAAGGACAAGAAGATAAAAGTAGGAATATTAGTTATGAATCTGGGAAGGTTCAACGAAATTTAATTGGTAGAGGAAAAAAAAAACAGAACATTTCCACGAGACTAAACACTACCTCTCCGCAGCACATTTCTGTTCGGAAAACATTCCTTTTGTTATGTTGGAAATCAAAATTAAGACAGAGGGAATCCCTAAAATTAGCTCAATAGCCAATGCAAAGCAAATCCCACTTCCACTTTCCATTTTCTGTATTTTTTTTGTTTATATAATATATAATGGGTAACAGTTTCGTCTTTTGTGCAGATTGAGAGCAAAAACGAAGCCATTGGAGACTGAGTTTCTGTGTGGCTGTTTGGTTTCTTTCTCTTTCTCTTTCTCTTTCTTGGTGTTAATGGAAGAGAGAGAATTAAAGAGGAAGCAAAGAAAGTGCATGCAGAGCCATGTGGAGGGCAGCTCATTTATCTGTGAAAAGAACCAAAAAAAAAAAAAGTAGATCAGAGCTTGGGGAACAATTGGATTTTGTAGGGCTCCAAGGGATTTTCTTCCTTAAAATTCTGGCCCCCATCATTATTCTTCAGCAGCCCCAAATTGTTTCAAAAGAAAATTTTAAGCTTTATAATTTAATTAATAATCTTTGCCCTATCTATCTCTTGATTAACTAAACAGTTGTACTTCTCGTGGTTTAAGATTTCTCAAAACCTCCCTTTGAAAAGAATCTTTTTTCTTTGTTCTATAAAAGAACACCTGCAAAAGCTAATTTCCACTTTATTTTCCTACTCCTAGAGCAGCTGATCAGCCAGCCCACTGTCCAAAATAAAATGGGATGCCTGTTGGAGTTGCTTTAACGAGCTTGGGTTTTCAATATGTCCCCTTTTAATTTTATAATAACCAAAAAGCATCACTTGTGTCAATATTGGGTTTTTATAGGATTTGTTCGGCATGTTATTTCAAATTTTATTCCTTTCTTTTTAATTCATTAATTGAATCAAATGGATTCAGTTAATATGTTTGGCAGAATTATTTTTTAAAATTGTTCCCCGATTTTGTGATCTAAATGGTGAAAAATCTAAAACAACAATTTTATGTTTTCAATATTTTCAGATTTTAAATTTGAAACTTTAAAATACAAAATTACATCAAAAAAAGATAAAAACTTTGTTAAATATAATATTGCATGCTATAAACTCATTTCATTTATGTTAAAATTAAAGATATAAAATATAATGTTTTATAAATTATATAGTATTGTAAAATAATAATTCTACAAAATTTATAACAAAAATGTTAATACATTAATTAATATTATTTTAGATTGAACGACACTAGTTTACAGAGATATTATTCAACACACATTAAACAATTTTTTAAATTAAGATTTGTTGTTCATATCCATATATAAATTAAATTTACCCAACTGATCAGCTTAAACTTAAAATGTTGAGTGTGTTTATTTATCCCGGACAAAATTTTCACTTTTCAACTTTACTACTAAACACATTGAAAAATGTTGAAAACAAAAATATAACTCAATTTTTCATTAAATTCTCTATTTTCAGACTACGAACCAAATACACCCTTAATTATTAACGAGATCTTAAAAAACCAAAAAACAACAAATCTTTTCTTTATTTTTTGGACTTTACTTTCTATTTCACTCTATAAGTGATGCTACTCCTCATTTTACATACCTAAGATCATCTCATTATCTAATATTTGATGTGTGATTTCACACACTTGGAAAGTTTAGATTTAAAATAGGCAATATCGTAAAGTAAAGGAGAAGTACCTAAGATCATCTCATTATCTAATATTTGATGTGTGATTTCACACACTTGGAAAGTTTAGATTTAAAATAGGCAATATCGTAAAGTAAAGGAGAAGTTAATGGGAAAAGAAGAGAAGGGGGCAGTGTTTACTTGTTTGGTAAGGTGGGGAAGGTGGGAAAAGAAAGAGAAGGGGAAATTGGAAAATAATGGTTTGAACTTGGAATTTTGTGCAGCATGTTTTTCCTCAACTTTTCTGGACTTCCTCCGTTTTATTATTCCCTTTTGCTTCCATATATGTAAATAAGTTAATTAAATAGTGAGGAAGATAGAAGAATATTATCGTAAAAGAGAAGTAAGAATTGGAATTGGAAATGGAAATGGGTGGTCCAAACTCAAAGTAGAAGCCGACCCACACAGCCAGAATTCAATCAATTTGGCGCCACCGCCACAGCCACAGCCACTGCCACTGCCACGCCACCGCCGTCCCCATCAATCAAGAGATTCCAAATATAAGTGAGAGACATCAAAAACTGAGGTACCTGTACCTGTACCCATCAATGGCTCACCACATTTTTGCACCTCAAACATCTCTCTCCCTTTTGATTCATATCACAACCCACCCATCTTCCCCACATCTTCATTTACCAACAACATAAAAAGAAAAACGAAACTAGATAATTGCTTTCGTTATTCGTATTCTCTCGAGTTAAACAACGGTTAGAAATGAGGGAAGAGCATCATCCATAGTATATAGATAAGCTCTATTAATATGAAATTTTTTTTGGGTGAAACATGCAAAGTCGTGAAGGCTATACTCAATGCAGACAATATCATGATAATTCTGTGTACTTTGTTCGAGAGGAGGATAGTAATTGACATTTATCACTGACCAAAGTTTGAATCATCCCACCCACTCATTAGCATTATATACACACTAAATTTAGTTTTTTTATATATTCTTAGCATTATATACAAGATAAGCACGATAACTTGACGGCCAACACTATGACTTTGTGCTGGTTGGGGAATGTGAGACCTAAGGGTAGAAAAAAGATAATAATAAATTTGTGAGTATGAACTATTGTTTTGTAGGTGGAATAATTCAAAAGTAAATTTATATTATATTTAAGCCCATAGTGGATAAACATCGTCATGTATTGATGGAGTTGGGGAGGATCAAATAAGTTCAGTGAAGATTCAAGAAAATAAAATCTAGGAAGATTTCATGGTGGAGGTAATTGTGCATTACAACTAAATCCCACAAAATGACAAAAACTAAAAGTCAATAATAGAGAAAAATATTAAAATAGAGAGTGGTAGAGACATTTATACATATGAATTTGGAGTATGTGATTGATTTGTATGGCAAGTTCCCATATACCATGCCTCGCACTTTGGCTTTTTCCAACCTTCTTTCTTCCTTTTTACATTTGTGAGTTGATCAAAGAGATATCGTTATCTCCATCTTTCAATTTCGTGTACTTTTTCAATTTACAGAGGAAAAAATTTCCTGAGATAAGAAATCGAACTAATAGACTTTTAATATGATAATAGATATAGATTCTTTTACTGAGTTATGTTAGAATTGTAAAAGATTAAAGATTTGATGTGTGATGTGGATGGGGAGGGGCATGGCTGTGAGATTAGGTAAATATGGAAGTTTGGGTAATTATAATTAGGGGTTAAAGGTGTTTTGGACTGTTCCTCTCGGCACATTCAACCTTCAAAGACCCACTTCTTCCACACTCACCTTCGCAGTTCTCTCTGCCATTTCCATACATTCTTTTATTTGTTTTCAGAATATTATTTTGGTACATGTCTCGTTATAAGTTTATTTTAGTTTCTACACTTTTGTCCATTTGAATTCCGGTATTTTGAAAATTGAAACTATTTGATCCACGTATTTCATTTTTAGCTCATTTCTTCTTAATAATTTGTATGGAAAGGTTTCCATTTTATATAAAAATTGTGTTAAAATTATTAAATAGGAATTGGTCACTGTTTTAAAGTATAAAGATCAACATTGATATTTAAAAAGTAGTCTAACAAAAGTTGAAAGTACCGTAACTAAAATTATCCAAAATCGAAAAGTATAGGAACTAAAATAGTATTTCAATCTCTCTCTTTTCCTTTTCCCTTGGACTGTATTTTCTAAATTTTGTTTGAACTTGAAGTTTACCATTGTCAGTTGAGATGATAGAGTAGAATTAATTTATAGTTTAAGATCAGTTTAGGAGTTGAACATAATACAACTCTCTTAAATTAGTATTCAATAGACTTCGCAATCTTTTATTTTCAGACTTCACAAAAGATATATGTATATTTATGATAAATTTTAAGAACAAATATTATGTTCATTAGCTAATTTGGCATAGCTCAACCTATTAGTCGAAAGTTCGAATGTTGAATTAAAGAAAATCAGTTTCGTCATGTTTCCCAATTATCAAAATAATAAATCAAAGTACATCAGTTGAAGATTAAATTAAATAAATAATTGAAAATAAATCAGACCTGAACAAAAGTTCCGTTCCGGCATCTGAAATTAAACTCCAGGCCCATTTTCTCCAGGTAAAAAGGCCATAACGAAGATGCAAAACTTGGGCCTCTGGGCTTATTTCAATAGTAGACTTCTTATTGGGCTTTTCTTCCCAACAACAGACCCACAAAGGTTCGCAATCATGGAGGACAATACAAACCAGCCCCTTGGAATGTGGATAATCAACAAATCTCTCATTAATTATTTTAAAATATTTGTTAATAAATAAACACTTTAAATAAAATATGAAAAATCCATTGTACCTGAAATAATGTGATAATTTAAAGTTTTTATGGATCAGTGGGTAGAAGTTTGAAATTTTCCTAAGACAAAATTTTACCTTCGAAACTTTTACACATAATCTTTTTTATTATTGAAATGTAGGACAAATTAGATACGATTAAATATAAATATACAGGGGGAGCACATCCCAAAATTTGAGTTGTTATGCCTTGTTTCTTTATTATTATTTTTATAATATATAGATATTCATTTATAAATTTGATCTATCCTTAAATTTTGATGGTTATGCAACTTTAAATAATTCTAATAACGTCTCTAAATTTCTTATAACAATCTTTAAGTCGATGTCACTAACATTGCTACTTAATGTTAATGTGGTGTGATGATTGCAATAATAGTTTAAAGTAATACGATACGAAGAAGAAGAAGTATGTTAGTTGGATAAAATATTTTTTTGTCCCTTATGTCATACCAAATAAAATTATTTGTTAATTGTTAGTACGATAACAACGACTCAAACTTATTAAAATCAAAATCAAAAGTCTAAATACATAACCATCTTTTTATATATTTATATAATTTAGAAATTAAATAGATAATAAATTTTAAAAAATTTTTAGTTTTAACCTATAATATGTTACTTTTATTAAGTTATATTCGTACTTCTTTTCAGAAATCTATAACGGGATACACATGAATCAAACTTAATTTTCAAGAATCCTACTTTATTTGGCTTGTTTGAGAATAGAGATGATAAGAATGCTGACGTATTTAAACATTATGTCATATACTCGATTTTGCATTAAAGTAAAATTAGAAAAAAAAAGAAGGGAAATTTGAATGGTCAAAGTGGGTACAGTTGGCAAAGGTTCTGATGCTGTGCTGCTATCTTCTCGTACAGATTGGTGGACCAAGACGCATGGTACAGCTGCATTATTGTGGTCCTTGATGTACCCGATAATTGCCCCCAAAAATTAAAAAATAATAATAAAAAAAGGCATAAAAGAATAAATGACAGTTGCCCACTTTGCTCCAAACCAATTGGCGCTCACAAA